TTTACCCCCGAACAAACCAACTAGTGATCACCCGGATGAAAGAAGAAGAAGAAAATAAAGAAGAAGAAAAAATGAAAGAGAAAAAGAAGAAGAAATGGAAGAGAAGAAGAAGAAGAAGAAGAAGAAGAAGAAGAAGAAGAAGAAAATAAAGAAGAAGAAAAAATGAAAGAGAAGAAGAAGAAGAACAAGAAGAAGAAGAAGAAAATAAAGAAGAAGAAAAAATGGAAGAGAAGAAGAAGAAGAAGAAAAATGGAAGAGAAGAAGAAGAAGAAGAAGAAGAAATGGAAGAGAAGAAGAAGAAAATAAAGAAAAAGAAAAATGAAAGAGAAGAAGAAGAAATGGAAGAGAAGAAGAAGAAGAAGAAAAAGAAGAAGAAGAAGAAGAAAAAATAAAGAAGAAGAAAATAAAGAAGAAGAAAAAATGGAAGAGAAGAAGAAGAAGAAGAAGAAGAAGAAAAAATAAAGAAGAAGAAAATAAAGAAGAAGAAAAAATGGAAGAGAAGAAGAAGAAATGGAAGAGAAGAAGAAGAAGATGAAGAAAAAATGGAAAAGAAGACGATAAAGAGGAAGAAGAAGAAAAATGGAAGAGAAGAAGAAGAAAATAAAGAAAAAGAAAAAATGGAAGAGAAGAAGAAGAAGAAGAAGTAGAAGAAGAAGAAGAAGTAGAAGAAGAAGAAGAAGAAAATAAATAAGAAAAATGGGAGAGAATATGAAGAAGAAGAAGAAGAAGAAATGGAAGAGAAGAAGAAGAAGAAGAAGAAGAAGAAGAAGAAGAAGAAGAAGAAGAAAGCTTTGTTATGGAAGACCAAAAGACTTCACAAGATGAGAGGCTATACAACATACATAAGAACACAGTTTAAGAATATTCCTTTAAAAAATTGAAAGTAAAAGATGGTTTATAAAGTAGATTAATTACAGGAGTCCAACATTTCGTAGCAAAATCGGAAACCGTTAATTTTACCTTACCTGTACATTTTATTTGTTTGTTGTTTTTTAAAGGTTGAATGAATTGATTTTACCAAACAGAAGACTGAGGGTGGTGATATATTTCTTTTACCAAAGGCGGGGCTAAGCTTGAAGACACATTGCTTTGATTAAGAAGTGGCCGGGGGTGGCGATATATTACTTTTACAAAACAGATGTCCAGATTCAAAATGAATTGTTAAGGCCAGAAGTGACTTGATCCAAAGAGTTTTGAGTTCAATACCTGTCCACAGAAGAGATGAACAAAACTTGGCAGGTTGAATTCCTATAGAGAAATAACTAAAACTGATTAAAAATTGATTGTTAAGACAGCAGTATACAGATTTTATTTCATTTAATCTCCACAAGTCCCGAATGGAGTGGGATAACAGGAAGTGACGAATCACATCTTAGCCTTGCCATTCCTCTGAAAAAAAAGTACAAATCATGAAAATTCCAATGGGACTCATCACTGTCGTTGAACTTTCAAAATTTCAAATTTCAAATTGCCTTCAACATCTGTCTATATTTCTGAGAAGAGGTATTGTAACTATTTACACTATTTACATTGTTTGGACTGCTGTCCTCAACTTTGTTGTCATATATACATGGTCCAGTGGATAAAAGCGTTAAATGAAGTAATTCAGTAACCTTGACCTAAATAGATGTGAGTTCAATATCCGGCCACAGCATAGGTGAACAAAAACTTGGAGATTTGAGTTACTAAAAGAAAATAATTTAACTAAGCGGTTCAAAGGCACGGTACCTGGAATTAAAACAATCTACCCCAGTGGATGAAATAAAGTGTTCGGTTCGAAATTCCGACGTATATCACCTGAAGAAGGCTGGATTGTGCAACGGTTGAAACGTCGTGAATATAACAATAACGATGAACAATATAAATTGTGTAAATATTTTAAATGGCTTTTTGTAAATAATATAACAATTGAAATTCCGAGATTGAATTGAAAGAAAGGAAACGATGTCATGTATGGCACTAAACACATTCAGAAATATCTAAACTGTCATCTCTAGACAATTGCTTTTTTTTAGATCAGTGATTAAAAGTGACTGGACAAGTGAAGTATCGAACATTGCAAACTGGTGATATAGAATCACATAGTATACCAGTTAACAAAAACATCAACTGAAGAGAATATAATAATCAAATCTAGATAAATATTTGTACTTCAAATAAAGATTGATTCGCCAGGATTTATCAAATAGCGTTTTTCTAACAAGAATCTTTTTAACTTTTTTAGCTTTCATTGTTCTGTCTGTTTTGTAAAATTCCATAAAAATATTACGGGTCTTATGTCTGTTGTCTGGATGATGTTCATATAAATTCTTTGCAGTTTCCTTTCCATAAATATTGCAAAATTTCCAGTGCAGATATTGCCACAATCTGTTATTATTATTATTATTATTATTATTATTATTATTATTGATTTGCCGCACGATTCAATCATTTACAAATCTTTCACTTGATACCTAAGCTAAATAAAATTTATTCTTAGGAAGTTTCCGTTCGAATTTAT